GTCACTTTTTCGCAATTCGATCTAAATAGTGTCTGTGGCATACAGATATTTTAACATGGTATATTTTATTAAAATTTATCCAAAAAATATTTGTTGGCATTTTAAGACTCATAATTCAGTGATCGTTTAATAAATTGATCTGAAACTTTTAGAAAATGTTGTCTGCAAATTTTAGAATTAAATCTTATACAATAAGAATATGACATACGGATGATCATCATGTTAGCACTGAAGATTCAGATACACTAATATTCGAGCAAATGAATTTGTCATATGAATAAAGAAAGATCATCGACTTCACTTAAGTTTCATGTGAAACTATCCTGATTTAATAATTTATTTGATTAGCTACAAGATAAACTTCCGTAGGCAATATTTGAAGGTTGTGAAGCTCACAACTAAAATAGATTCCATCCATCATAACATTGTTTCTACTCAAGAAAGCGAGTTCTGAATTGCAGATAATGATGATAACAATCAATAGAGTTGTCTATCTCATGCATTCTACAGCATCTTGAGGAGGACAAAATCCTGAACAAAGTGTTAGATTGCCGCACTTTCTACGATGTTCTCTAAAAAAGTTATTAGTGTTACAAAAATGAAAATTTATCAAAAAATCGACTAAAAAATGTTTTCTGTTATACTATTAACTGTTTAAGAACAAGTCGTAAAAAGTATGAGGACTGCTCATTCTGTTCACAATTTTGTGCTCTTAAAAACGCTATTGTTAAAGGATGGCTCCGAGGATGTGAAAATTATGGTGTCTGGATTCGACGAAACCTTAACATCATAATTCATCTAGTATAGCATGCATTAGATAGAAAATTCCATTGACTATGAAGATCACTGCCTGAATTTGAGTTTATTGCTTATCATTACAGGAAAAAAAGAATATGTTGTCCTTCAAATTTTTTTGCGGCACCTTACATTGTCCGAAGCACGTACACCCATCTTGTGTTTAATAATATATAACACAAGTCATCAAATTATAGAAATAATTATATTTCACTGTTTGATTTTTTATATTGATTAAAAGTCCGATAGAAATATTTCAGTCAATTGTGAATATAAAATTACGTACCGAAACTCTTCTATTGATAGAGATCCCGAATTTTTAACATTATAAAAACGAAAAATATATCGACAACGTAATTCCGCCGGAGCTCCTAATTGAATTTTTTTTTTCAATTAAATTTGATTCAAAAACAAAAAATATTTAATTTATACCTCCATGTGAAGTATTTGGATCCATTGCAGCTAATCCTAAATTGAACAATAAATTTCTTTAAAATTTAATTGATTAATTAACTAACCAAGTAAATAATCTGCATAAGTTAAATAAGAATTTTTTTGAGAATCAAAAGCACGAAAATAAGATTGAATTTTAGTTTTTTCTGTGGTTGATAATTTATTATCCATAGCTTCAGTAAAACTTTTCAAACTCATATGTTCACTTGGAAATGTATATGAATAAAATTCTTTAAAAACACTTTCTTGAACTAAATAAAAGTAGAATTATCTGTGAAATATAAAAAAAGAGATCTTTTTTTATACTTTTATTATGAAATTTAGCTGAACTTATTAATTGTTCTGTTGGTGAAATAGTTGTTTGATTACTTAAATCAGGTTGTTTATATTCAATCAATTGAACGGTTGGTTCTTCAAATATTTTTCCATCGGATAATAACTTATCTTAATAGTAAAACAAAACTAAGAGAAAAAAAAATTGAAATATCTAAATACCCCATCCATTTTTCTGTTGTCGTTCAAGAATATTTTTTAATATATAATATGGTTCAAGTCCAAGTAATTCTCGATTTTTAATAGCCATATTCATTCGTTCTAAATTCATCCATATTGAATTACTTGAATTCGATCCATTTACACGTGCCTAAAAAAAAACAAACAACAAGAAGTTTCAATAAGAAAAAAAAGGAATTTTGAATAAATAAATAATTACTAATTGAGTTTTACTAAGTAAATAATATGTTTGTATACTTGGTAAACAAGGTAATGTATCACTACATCGAATTTTAAATACAGATAATGGTTCAAAATCATATGGATAGATCTAAAGTATAATCACCAAGTAATTTACAATAAAATATTGAAAAAAAAATAACTATTTACTTTATTTGTTATGCGTTTCGCAGCAAGTGCTCGCGTTTCACCTGGTTGAATTTCATCAAATGGAAACCAATATCCACGACCAGGATTTTGTTCGATAAGAAGTAAAGCATTAAGATCTCGTTCAATAAGAATACATATAACTAACTTCATTTCATCACTTTACAAATACAGAAAACATTGTCTATTTACTTTTGATTTAGAAATCAAAATCTAAAGTATATGTTTGATCATATTAGACTTGTTTATTATTAAATCCAATAGGAAGTACAATGATTACCTTCGTCAATAACAGATGTCACTATTCAATAGAATCAAAACAGTTTTTTCCGAATACCTAGGAAAAAAAGAATACGTTAAAAATAGATGACGTTTTATTATTTATAAGAACAATTAGGTTTTGTTTTATTGAAATAATTTGTAATAGAAATGAATTCAGAAAAAATTTATTTGCTTTTACTAGACGACTGTGGAGTCGAATCCTAGAGCTCGTGGGCTTGCTTCTGGACTCGTTTGAATTCAGTTCCAAGAATTTGGACTCGGTACGCTCTAATCACTTCAGATATGTGTTAACTACTGTAGAGATCGAATACAATAAATCTGAAAAAAGTATCCCGTATTTTCGGGACGACTATCCGACTTGCTTTAGAAGATTTGATTGAGAGTATCAGAGTATAGTTCGACCGGGTTCAGGTTTCAAAAACGTGGACTCACAACTCCCCACATTAATCGTATAGAGCATATTCTTGCTTGATCTCATTTACATAATTACAACTACAATTATTTCATATAGCTGAAGCTTTTGTTGTTATTATGTGTTTGATGAATTTTGTTTATCAATCAACTGTTTCGTTTCCTCCTCTTTTGGTTAACATAATGCTCTTTTGAGCTAAGCGGAAACCTTTACTTTATGAAGCATCGAGTGATGGCAACGTCAACAATAAGAAATAATATGTACTTGTATATGTTGACTTTTTCTCTCAGAATAGCCAATAAATAGCTAAAACCTTGATCCTTCACTTTCTCATGTACACAGAGGGTGCCAGATGTTGGTAAAAAAAAGCTCGAGTCTCTGTTCAGCAAAAACGTGTACGGCCAATCTTTAGCTTTCACAGGAGTCAAGATGCAATTAATTATTTCAAGTGAAGAGTATCGCTTATATGCAAGATTACGTTTTGATTATATGTTGTGTTCCTTTATCTTTGATTAGTATTGTGATGAATTTTGTTATTTTCAAATTAATTGAATCTTGAAAGTTGAATATTATTTTGGTACAAGCAGATGTCATTGTGCTAAATCGATTTCTCTTTGCTTGTTCTTGTGTAAGTCACACAAGGATATCTATCATCGTGTTAATTCATACTTAGTATTTGATGTAGTAGTGAAATACTTTTATAAAATCTATAAAAACCAACGTTTTCTCTGGTTCTGGATTATCTATTGTTGTTTGAATGTGGGTATAGATTTTTGTTACCAGACAATCCACATTCATACTATAACTTTCGACCCATAAGGAATGCTTTTGAATAGAGAGCGGCAGACCAGATCTATCCAGACTCTTCGATCACTACAATAAGTAAGTGTTCGAGGAATATAAGTAAATAAAAATCCTTTTAAATCAAGAACATCCATTAACTGCTATTTAACTGAAGTGTATAATAGAGTCTAATTCAGAAAAACAAGAGCTATGTAGTGCCTGAACAGTATTCTCTGATTATTTGAGATCTTTAAGGTGATTGTTCTTCACTTTACCTAAGAAAACCATTGATTAATATTTTATACATGATTGCGAACCTTTAAAATCTTTCACAAATGAGTAAAATTCTGTTTAAAAAATATTTGATTCAAAAAGGAAGACAATATCAATTAATAATATCTTAAATTTCGATACTAGAAATACACTAATTATAGAAATGAGAATAATTAGTGTAAACATTTTGACACAGTTCCGGTGAAATATTCGCGTGATAGTTTAATAATAGTACAATGCATCGAAAACAACATAAAGAAATCTGTTTTGTATACTGAAGTTTGAGTGAAATAAAATTTATGCCCACAATGACCTTTGTAGATCTACAATTTCTGTAGTATTATTGTTTTCCTTTTGCAAAGATATATTGGGTGTATTTGATAAAATCTACTATGATAAAAGGACATTGAATATGCCACTTGCATATAATATGATTCATGCATAGAAATGATTCATTGAAGTAACATATGTAAGAAATTCATAAAAGTATTCTGTTTTTTACTTCATTCACACTGTAATACTGAGCAAAAATTTCTTTTGTATACAAGACATACGACTTTATGATTTATATCAGTAGCTGTCAAGCTTTTTTTTTTCGGAACTTTTTTTACATAAATATCGCTATGTATCTTATCATCAAAGCACATGGGAGTCGACTGAAGGCATGTACTTGGTTAAGAATAAGAGCAAGAACGATATTTATGATGGGCGACTAGCTGACTTTGGGAGGGAGGACTCTTTAGAACAATTGTTCTCTTTCAATAGAGTTAAAATATAGCCTATGCTATTAATAGATATAAATCGAATAGTTTAAATAAATCCTTGTAGCCATTAATAATAAAGTACACTCTATTTTCATTATCCTACAATGTAAGCAATGATGTAATGAGAACATTTGAAGTATATTTTGTACATAAAAAACAAAGATATCCATCAATTGAGAAAAAAAAGCACTTGTAGATTCGACAATTAAAATTTATTTATTTTTGGAAAAAATAATTGAAATCAGATAATTTTATTTCATTTATTTTTCATTGAAAATAAAATGGTAACTGGACACGAAAACAATCAGGAAGAAATATTAGACTATATACAAATACAAGCAAAAAGAAAAAGAAAGTTCTCATGTATTAATACGACGTTGATGTAATTGTTTATTTTTATTTGCTATCGGTAATAATCCAGATGATTTTTTAATACATACACCAAATGTTATATTCCAAAAAGCCATACGAAATTGTTTTGAACAATAAGCATATATAAATGGATTAATAACTGAATTAAAATAACCAAGCCATGTTATTAATGTTACTGTATGAACATTTAATGAACGTTTTTCTGGTGGTATAACATACATAATAAAGAAAGGTAACCAAAGTATAATAAAACCACCGACGACAACGGCTAATGTTTTAGCTGTTTTTTGTTCTTTCATAAAACGAATACGCTCTCGACGATGAACATCACCTGGTGTACTACTACTACGTACACTTGTACATGTTATAGTTGATGATTGACCTGGTGTATACATTGGTGTACGGTTTGTTGTTTCATTTGATGAAATTTTATCATCATCATCGTCATCATTTGTTAATGAATGACTTGGTGTTGCAGTATATATTGGTTTTGTTCTATTTTCATATGAATTATCATTAATTGATGATGAATACCAACAACAACAACATAATGAATAATTTTGATCAAGATTATTTTCATTCAAATTATTATTTCGATTAATGCAATGGCGTATTACTGAAGAAAAAGATTTTGTCGATTGTATAGATGTATTATTATTTGTTAATCTATATTGTTGATGTTGTTGTTGTTGTTGTTGTTGTTTCATATTGTCTATTGATAATAGTGATGATGAAGTTTTTATTAAACGTGAAGATTTTATTCGACGATTTATACGTGTTGGTTCAGGAAAAGATTGTTTTTGTCTAGTAAAATATGGATATGTTGAATTAATTGAAAGATTTTTTTGCATTATGGTAGGATTTGTTGTTGATCGTGTTCGCAATGGTGTTGAACTTATTTGTTGCATACTAAGTTTTTTATATGTTTGTGGATTTTGTTTTATTGATAATTGTGTTAATTCATTTAATGATTGACTTGTTTTATTTAAATTTTCGTTTGTGGATGCAAATAAATGATCAGTATCATTTTTTTGATTTGATAATATTATTTGTTCAATTTCATTCTAAATATATTTTTTATTTGGAGGATAAAAATACTTTTAAATATAGATTATGAGAAAAAAATGTGTTAGAAAAAGTATCATAGAAATTAATTTCCATTGTATTGTATAATTGCATGCGGAAATAGAATTTATCTTTCTTTTTTTAATTTTCCGCCATACTCATTGAATAGAATACAATTACACCTTAGTGTTCTACTTTTTTCTGCAAGAATAAATGAAATAAATACTTAGCTACTTCTGTTTCCGATAAACTAAAAGGACAAATAATTATCATATTGCTCTTATAAGTAAGTTCCACTCTATATTCATCGCCTAAAGACAGTTGCATGATTATTTCGTACTTAATAGAATATTGTAAAGATCACGACAACGTTAGAAATCAAAAACAATTGAATTAGACTTTTCCCGAAAAAATTCATCATGATATATTATGTTTGATATTAATAGAAAAATACTTTTTATTTTTGACAACATTGTCATTTTCAAAAAGACAAATAAGATTTGTTGATTGAATTAGATTTTATTCATATATATTCTTTATTCGCTTTTCGAGTTGCTAAATAATGTCAAATCTCATGTCAGATTTCTTTTTTTTTTTTCTTCTCAAATATAAAACCCATACTTTTGATTATTGACCTTAAAAAGACAATAAGCCTATAATAAATTTAAAATATCTAAATCTTTGATTGTCACTCTACATATGTTCAATAGAATTAATTAAAAACAAGTTCGTCTAAAACAAGATGACAATTTTTGTTGTCAATTTATTTTCTATATTTGGAAAAAGAAGGCATATCTACTGCGGATGACAGTTGCCAATTCCAATGAACGCTGTGTACTCTTGCTACAGTCTCAAGTTATAACTTTAAACATAAGATCGATTTAATAGAGAAGGAAGTATATGTCGCCATGTAATAACTGTTATTTGCTGGGGGGGATTAGAAATGACTATTATATCTATTTTTACTCGTTGGAAATAACAACAAATATAGATATAGCAAACATTCTTACTTCTTGTTTAATTGTATCTTTGATATTTGTTGTTGTTGGTGTTGTTGAAATAGCAGCAGTCACAGCTGCTGCTGCTTTTAATTGTCGACTATGACTTAATTCTGTATTTAAATCACGTATTTTACTGATTGTTGAATGTTCAAATGAACGTGATCGACATTTATTTAAGGGTGATAAAGATTTTTCATATGTTTTTAACTCATAAGATGATGAATCATCTTTACGAAATTGACATTCAGAAGAAATATTTGTTAAATAATTACATCGATATTGATAAATATCATCGGATATATTGCTTAATTTTTTTGTTGAATTTTTATGTGAGCGTGAAAAAATTGATATTTTTGAACGTGATCGTCGTGTATGTACAGGTGAATTTGTATATATATTTGCATTCATATTTTGATTCTGATTTTGATTGCTATTATTTGTAAAACGATAAATAAGATAACCGTTTTGTTTTTGTTCAATTGTTGGACAATGATTATATAAATAATGAGGCACTGATGTTCTTGATGATAAATTTTCTTGTGATTGTCTTCGAAAACAAAAACAACACCATGAAGAAATGTTTTGTTCTTGATTTTTATTATTCGAAGTATGTGTATTAGTAATAATGCCATTAGGATTTGATTTTATTGATATATTTGATGATCGAGGATTATTATTATTATTATTATTATTATTATTATTACTGTTATGATTATCACGAAATTTTTTTATTAAATTTTCACGATCATAAACAACCATAAATATACGTATATAAACAAATATCATAACAACACCTGGAATATAAAATGAACCAAGTGCGGAATAAACAACATAACCTCGTGCTGTATTTAAATCGCACTTATATTCTTGTTCGACCTAAAATTATAATAAGAAAAACTAGTTTTTCATGTCTTTTCAATAGAATCATTTAGCCATATGAATTTGTTTTTGAAGGAAATATGTCATTAAAATAAGATAAAAAAAAAAATAACAAAGCATTCATACCGTTTGACGTCTATTTTTATCTCGCCAACCAAATATAGGTGGACATGTAATAACGGCTGAAACAATCCATACTGATAGAATCATTACACGAGCAAGAAATTTTGATCTATATGCTGTATATGTTAATGGTTTTGTTATAGCCATATATCGATCGACAGAAATACAAGTTAAATTAAGTATACTTGATGTACATAAAAGAACATCTGATGATACCCATAAATCACATAAAATTAAACCAAGTTTCCATGAACGATCACGTTGATAGCAATAAATACTTAGTGGAAGAACAAATATTGCAACTAAAGCATCAGCAAAAGCTAATGATGCTATAAAATAATTTGTCACTGTTTGTAAACGACGTGTACGACAAAAAGCACATATTACAAGTAAATTACCAAGAAATGCACTTATATCGATTAATATCATACATGTTAAAGTTACTATTCGAATCCAAACCGGCATTGTTGATGTTGTTATTGCTGTTGTTGTATTAATGTTAAATGTAACATTAGAAAAAGCGATATATGATGAAGATGTAAATGTAACCATTATAATTATTCATGATGCATATCTTAAAATTTAATTAAATAAATACTTTATTTTCGTCAAAACTAATGTAAAATGACAAAAAAGAAATCGATCATCTTTAGGGCACATAAAAAAAAAAGAAAATGACGACAGCTATAATAACTTTTTTTTTTTTTACGTTTGTCTCTTCTTTCCTTTTTTTCTGAGACGTCATTGAATTAATCCTCAATTCTCATTCTTGCTTGGGGAAAAAAAAAGTCACCATATAATTATATATTTCTTTCCCATTCTAGCTATCATAATATCGTCAACAACCAAAAGTATTGTTGAATAGTATGATATTATTTTCAGTCTTTATCACCTTTTATCATTCAACAATCTGTTGGATGCTGCTTTCATCAAATGATCGTTCTAAGTACTTATTGGAAGAAGAGAAAAAAAAAAACTATATGTTAAGAAAACAAGAAAGTGCAGGATAATAAGATCGACAATCCTATCATCATCCCACACAAGAAAATCTTTAGTCGCAAACAGTTGTATATAACAAAGGGCTTGCAAGTAAGACATCATCATCGATGGTTGTTTTTTGATTATGCCTTTATTGAATTTATTATGCTACCCGAAAGCTCTGACAACGAATTTGTACTAAATCAAGATAAGAATACCAAATGAGAAAATACAAAACAATGAACGAATTTTCTTCCAAGACAATCATCTAATACGGCAATAGAAAGGCAGGAGGTAAATCAATTTATTATATCTCCTAGCTAAGTACATAGATACGGCTTTTTATCTGTGGAAGAGTACGTGTGAACCAATGATTTATGACATATATATGTGCCAACTACTTGTCTCTCTATCAAAGATCATGCTATCAGCTTCTGTCGAGTAACAAACGCATTTGAAAATGTCGTCGCATTTGGTCTTAGTAGACAATTAGCATTCTATTGTATAAACATAAAAATTACATAAGATGAACAAGTATTTATTCTTATTCACATATTAAACTCTAAGAACATAATCAATCTACTAACTAATCCATCAGTAATCTTACTGGAAATTTCATATGAAAAAAATCTATTATATTTGTAGTTCTTCGTTCTCTTATGAAACTATTGATAAAACTATCAGCCTGATTTCAATAAAAAGCAAAACAGATTCACTTTATTATTATATTCAATGTAGAACGGAAATTCCGAAAGCTTTTTGTTTGGTATTAATAATAGGTAAGCATGCAAAATTATTATCGGTAATGAAGTTGCCTTTTCTATTTCAAATGAGAACTCGTTAGCGATAAACAAGGAAGGAATTAGAAAAATAGAAGCAGAATAAAAACATCAAACTTGCATTAATAACACGAAATCGAATAATTCGTCGGTTCTTTTCTTTCTTTTTTCTAATACTTATATCAACATCGAATTAGTAAGTGCATGCATCGATACTTTACAATACCCTCTATCGGTTACAAATTGACGTCGTGCATTCCATTTTAAAAGAGATCTAATCTAATAAAACATGAACAATGTGACGTTCAAGGTCAACAGTGAAATGATGATCAATAGAAAACATCTGAATCTATGAGGAAATTTTTTCGAAAACATAAAATTTTCCTTTATCAAAATAATAAAATTAAAAAAAGAACTATACGATCATATATAAAATAGATATGAGTTTTATTTTATCTTTTCACACATGCATATATTTCAAATATGTATATAACATGACAATGATCTTACTAATCAGTATGACAGACGTTTTTGTAGAAGAAAACAATGTAAACTAAGTATATGACATGAGTTCAATGTGATATATTTTCGTCTTATCTCGTGTCATAGCTTTTAATTGGACTAATCAAACAATGAAAAGCATAGTCATGAAAAAAAAGAAAGTGGTCTTATAATAGATATATTGGTATTTTCTACTGGAATTCTTTCATGTCGTCTTATCTTGTAGAAATTTAATAAAATAATCATGTTTGCATGAGTAGTTGCGCTTTGTTTTTTTTCTTCATACTGATAATAGTGTTATTGCTTTAAGAAATGAAAATGTTCTTCTTTGATTATTTATGAATGATGACAAGATAAAAGAAGAAAACACTATTTCAAAATACTTTACTCAATTATTTTAAAACATTTCTATTACCAAAACAAAAAATAAGTTCTTATCTAATAATTGAGATTTTTATGTACGATTTCTTATCGTTCGTTGGCAAAGAGTAATAAAAGTATTATTGAAAAAAAATTATTAAATGTAGTCTAATAAGTAGGAATATCTCAAGATCTTCAGAGTTAAAGGTTGATGACCTTGGAAGACGAGTAGAAGATTTTTATTAAAAGTAACCGATTTTGTAAAGATTCGACCGCTTTATTTTTGAACAGCTGACCATAAAAAAATCCAATAAAACATGCGAGAACTCAGTTGAAGAAAAACAGAATATTTTCGAAAATGTGAGGTCATCTGTTCAAGACATTCACATTAATATATATGCTATACTTGACTAATTCTCATAAAAACTATACGAACATACCATTTCATTTTTATAATTTTCATAAAAGTATCACTAAATAATGCTGTATGATGATTCTCTAAACATTTTGAAACACTAGACTATGATAAGCATAATGTTGAATGTATGTCATTTCATAAAAGATACTCTTATAGAGTTTCTTGCTATTAGCAATAAACTGTCACGTTATCAGCATATAGTGTTAATCAGTATTTTAATTCTAGTAGCTTTGATAGTCAAAAGAAAATGTGTAAATAGCGCAGAAAAAACGACGTGAAAAAGTGATATAATTCTAATCGGAGAAGAAAAAAAAGAAACTAATTTCTTTTTCATTAGTTCTTGAACAATATTATATCGTATAAGGATAGTATGAAACTAAAATATGATTGTATATAGTTGAAGAATACTAAAGAGGGTTTCTAGAGTAATTTTAAAAAATATTAAAAAAAAATCATATGAAAATTTCATCAAGTAGATCTCCAACTTTTTTTTTGGTGATAATTGGAAATTTTATTGTTGTTAATTCATTTTATGACTACTTTTTATTTGTTTTTAATTTTTTGAAGTAATTTTGACAAATTAAAAAAACGAAGTTCAATTAGTTTAAACTATTTAAAAAATATAAAAGTGTATTAGAATTGAAAATAATATTATTTCGATCAATTTTTTTAATATGGTGTGTCCACAAATAATATATTAAAATAAACTTCAATTTTCTTTTTTTGTTACACTTGTTTTTTTACTTACATAGAGACAAAAATGTTATGATTAAGCATTGTGATTGACAGTCTTCTTAAAACTCGTTTACAGACTTTTCTAGTTGAACACTTTTGAAGAAAATTGCTTCATTAGGTTTTTTTTCTTGTTCTTCCATTTTTTATCTCTTTTATTTTATCGAACAAACGAGAAGAAAAAATTATTAGCATCGTTGAATGGTCATCAAACTGCTACAATCAACTAAGAAACTGTTAAAATATATTTCTAACTGAGACATTCAATGTCATTTTCTTACCTGAATGACTTTGTAGTCTCGTAGCCACCTGTTGCATCTGACAAAGCAAAAAGAAATCGGTTGACTTTATCTTCAATTGAATAACACTGACAGTGACGTGTGTGATAATTGTAGTATAAGAAAAAATAATCACGACCAAAGGAAAGACAGTAACAAGGGAAATTAACATGAAAATAGAAAATTGCACCAGCTTATATGATTGACAACGACACAAGACGTGATTATACAAATCTCATGATGTCTGTTGCTTGTCACCAAATATAGATGATGATAAGAGAAAATGAAGACAAATCAATAATATATGTTTTTTCAGATTAAATTTATGTATATATATATATAATTTAGCAAATGAACTTTTTTTTAATTTCTAATATATAGCGTCATTAAATTGAATATGTCCTTGACATACAAAAAAAAGAAAAACACAGCCTTGTCGGAAATAGTATATTCGCATACATTGAAATGACTATGTAATACTAATATTAATTGACAGTCATGAATGAAATCGATCTGCTTTTAAGCTTCAAAAATAGTTTGTCTATAGGGATCAAAAAGTGACTTTTGTTTTTAATTATTTCATGCTGATAGCTAATCAACATTCTTTTTCTCGTTTAGCATACAATAGGTTTTTGCTAAAGAACGAGAAAAAAAAAAGAGTCTAGAGAAATTATTTTATCACCGAGATGAGTATCAATTTTATGTCTTTCTCGGTCCTTTAATATTTTGTCAACTTAATCAAGTCATACGCATGATAACTTAATTTGACAGCTGGCTACAAATGAGAACTCGGCTTTTCTTTTCCATTTTGTTCTGTTTGGTATATATAACCAGAGGTTATATGCAAAGGTCAAGTTAGCTATAAAATAATCGATTCCATCAATAATCTCATGATAACATTTGTGTACATAGGAAATAATCACTTTATTTATTTAAACATTCAAAGAAAGACATTGAAAATTGATAACATATGCTAAGAGAAAAAAGAAAAAAAAAACATGAAAAATCTGACATTTTATGTTACGTATACATATTACTGATTTAAAGAATTATTTTTGTTTTCATCTTAAATAGATAAAAAAAAAAGTGATAATACGGTAATTAACTGTAAACTTTTTGTCGTTTCGATGCTGGAGATTCATCGATAATATGTAGTTCAATGCCACTATCATGTTCAGACATTATTGACTGAAAGAAAAATATTTTTACAAAAAGAAAAAGAATATCGATGAATTAAATGAATTATAAACATACATTAAAAATATTTGTTAAATATTCACATTGTTCACTTTTACTTTGTAATTTTTCATTTTCTTTAGTTAATTCATCAAGTAATTCATGAAGCTATGAAAGAAAATAAAAATTTGTTCTCGTTTTTTTTTTTTGATATTTATTTTCTATATATGATATACTTGTCGATTTTCTCGTAATTGACCTTCAAGTTTTATACGAGTACGTTCAGCTAATATTTGCCAATAGCAGTCTGGTGCATGACCTATAATATTAAAAGAAAAAATCGTATTGTAAGAGTAATCTGATTAGAAAAAAAAAAGTTTTATATTTTTATTCAAGCAAAAGGAATGAAAGAGGATCTGTTACATGAGAATATTTAATCTAGAAAGTAATCTCTTTAATCGAAATATGGTGAATCTAACAGAAGCGATTATTCAATATGTACGAGTTACTTCGAATAGAATTTCTATGCCAAGTAAAATATGATGTACATTGAAGAAACATTCAAAGATTAATAAATAAATAAATGAATAAAGAAACTACAAACATAAACCCGTATGTAATCATAATCTATTCAGTTAAGCATTCTTTAATAAAAATCTAATCAAAGAAATATTTATTTTTGAATCATATATGATTAATAAGAATTTATAGATTAAAAAGCAATAACTTGTATATCTGATTAAATATTAAAAAATAACCATGGTTCGATGGTATGATTTCATAGAAGCATATATTTGAAAAATAAAAGAATGACTAGTTTTTATTTTTTGCCAAAATTTAAAATGAAAATTGAAATTCTATCTATAATAGATTATTTATAACATTTATTCTTGGTCTACTGAAAGAACTTGTTAAATTTTCATTTTAATTGTGAATAAATTTAAACCAAATGAATATAAACAATACAAATGTTTATGAAAAATAATTTAGAATCATCAAAGTAAACAAACTATGAAAACTGTTTTCTCTCAACATAGAAAGGTCGTTGGTCGTAGAACGATCGAACTGTGCATTATAAAATCCTAACCATCAAGACACATTTTAGTTTTTATTCTATGAGATGATACTAACATTCTGACAGAGAATATATACAAGTCAAGAGAAAATAAGCTTTTTCATGAAATTCACGCACACCAGTTTTTTCTTTATCTATAGAATGTACATGATCATCAGTTTTTTTTAATAAATTGATCGTTCAAATTTGTAGAAACTTTTGCCAAACATTCATCAAGTGTACATTTTCAATATTTCATAGTTGTTTCAATTTGAAAATACAATAATCAGATAAGAATAAATGTTTTCCTTTTTTATGAATTAATGAAATAAGTAGCAATGATGTAGCTGATTGACATCTGGAGAAGATAAAGCAGCTACGATCATGATAACTGGCTTGTAGTTATATAGTAGTTATTTCTTTGAATATTTTTAATTCATCTCTAATAGGTATTATTCATCACTGTTACGATTGAATGAGAAAAGCAATGATAAACGATAGACATAAAAAAATCAACGTTTACTATACACCTTTCCTTTTGTTTTTTGATCCTTTTTCGAGTTCAACATTATTCCTTTTGGTTTTTTTTATGCCAAGTCTGGACATTTATTTTCCATTAGGACAATTCATTGTTAAGTTTTATCTTTCATAATCTGCAAGGCAAAGCTTTGTAGAAGTACAAGAAAATGAACATAGTTCTCATAGTTTTTTTCTTCAAGATCAAAACCGATTCAGAATAATTTCGTAACTTTTATACAATTAATTTTACTCAGAAAAACTTGAATGCTGTTTCCTTCATACTCTATAATTTCATAGAAAGTATCATATATCCGACGACTTCCTTACGGCGTTTTATTTAGTGTGCGCGCCCAAAGGGGCAGTACCACTACCAAGTCGGTTTAACCTTTCCGATGTTTGTATGTATCTATGCTCCCACAGATAGATGTCCTGATAAAATTTTGAATCGTCCCTTCGGAAGAGAAAGTCTGGCTACATCCCTAACTTCTTCTATATAATCTTAATCTTTTCAAAGTGAGTACAAAATTATGAATTCACAAAATATATATTGGCTTGCCTAGCATCTGTTTTCTATATTATATTGTTTTCTAGACTATTCTATCTCAATCACTATATAATTAAAATTACCCTAATATTCCGATCATATGTCTATAGTCTTCTATTATTATTCGAAATTATTTTTATTTGCTGACGCCGAACAAAAGGAATTGATTTTATTTACTTTTAACAAATTTTTCAAATTCATTATCATTCATATGGTTTCCTTGCATTATAATATCATCGAAAGAGTTCGGTGTATTTGTACTTTTTGAATATTTTTCAATTACATCTGTTTGTATGCACATGGGTTGTTTCTTTGATTGTAATAAAATCGAATCAAATGAATATGAATTATTTTTTGATGGAGTCGATGTTCTTTTATGCATTGTTAACAAATAGTCAAATCTTAAAAAAAAGAATTTTTATTTATGATGTGTATAGATTTTTACAAAAAAAAAGAAACGAAATTTTTTATTTTAGTTATATGATGAAGTATGCAGATACGCAAAGAGACAGAGTGCATAAACCAAAAAAAAGCTTTGATAGATGAAAGAAGCGAATTTAAGAAGAAGAAAAAAAGATCTATGGATGAATTGAGATATATTTGATCCATTCTCTTTGAGAGAAAAACTAATATTTTATTGAATAAAATATGTTGATTAGAAAATTTTTTTATTCAGTTGGTCTTGTACGATTAAGTGCTGATTGTAATTCACCTGTAAAATTAACTTGTTGTAATCGAGCACGATTTTGAAAATTTTCTGCATTTCTTAAACTATTTAAAATATCTTTTGTTTTGCCAAAATAAATTGCATTAAGTGTTTGTCGAATTTTATTTTCCATTTCTTCAACCATTTTCCCAATATTAATTATATGTTGGGAAAATTCTGTTATTTGATGATCCGCTTCAAGTTGTCGTGTTAAACTTCCCCCTAAATTCATCATGCCTGACATTGTTTTATGTGTTTGTAACCAGAGCATAACTGTTGATGTTAATTTATAATGAGCTGTTCGACCACTTTGTTTTTCTTGTACTTCAATAACATGAATTGAATCCCAACAACCTTTTATTTTTTTACTACCATCACCAACTTTTTTTATGAGTACAACACCAGCAAAACCATTTTCAAGATCCCAAAAATAAACAGATGAAACACCACCTTCAAAATACATTTCACGATATTGTTCAAATGCTTGATTAGCCTCAATTTCTAAATGACGAAGTCGATCGGACGGAAGATTTCCTATAAAAAAACAAATATACATGTCTTCTTTTTCAATAGTAAATAAATCGTCGTTTTTTTTTTCAATATAATTACTCAATTTAGAAAATAGAATGATAATCTGTCATACTCAGAAAAAAGTAACGAGTGCTTCCGGGACAATGGTCCTTTCGGTATCTTAATATCTCTTCTAGCATTCGTTAATTCCGACTTGATCTTTAAAGGCCTCACGACACAATAAGATATTTCTTTATTGTAGTAAATAACATTTATTACTGTTTAAGATACACTTCAAATGAACAATCGAAAATAAAACAATTTGTTTAGAGCATTTTTTTAGCTGTTTAATAAGAGTGCATTTTAATAAAATCTTTTTCTAATTTAATAGAAGTAGTAAATTTCTTCATCATTCTGAAAGCTTTCGAATTTAAATCTGAGTAACTCGGTAGCCAATATGTCTTATTGGCAGTAGGAAACAATATTGTCTTGACATGATTTTTGCCTTAATTGATGGATATGAAATTCAGCAACGCCCTGCGAAAATGCTCATCCATTTTTTTTGAAGATCCTATCCCTATATTTTAATGTTAGTGGTGGAATGTTCCAGATTTATCGGATAGGGTACAACATCTGTTTATAAAAAGTAATCACTGATATGAAATAGAACGTTTCCTTGGGTGGTTCTATAACCTTGTATCCATCTATTAACGCAATTATGATTGAAGGACAACTTCCTTTCTATCATTAATTAGAAAGTGTGACCATCTAATAGTTCAGATTTAAATCTAGGACTATTATATTTCTGAAGGAATCTATTATTTTTATTTATTGAAAAAGATTTATATGAAAAAATACTCTCAGCAAATAACTAAAGTATATATTTAGAAGAAAATATTTTTTGATCTTCGACAGTTCGTCTAAAGCATATTCAGAAAAATGAAGAATATTATTTATACCAATACACAGAATAGACTATTTTGTAGTGAATTTTTTGAAAATAAAGTTTGAATCAAAGAGTTTTAAAATATAAAAAGACCCATCGTATCTGAAACACTTGTGAAGAATCAAGATATCATATAAAATTCGTAACTCATTATAAAGTTTTGATTGAAAGACTATAATCTGAAGAAAAAGATAGCTGCCGGTTAAGTACATTCATACTTGAGGATCATTATTTACACTTGCAAGATCAGACATGCTTTATGACATCCGGAAAGAATTTATATGATTAATAACCATGGGTGCAAAATACGAAGTCGATGAGAAAATTCTTTCTATTCTTTATTTTAAACTTTTATGTCAATTGGAAAATTACTAATTAATTTATGTTCTGAATTCAAAATTGTTTCAAAGTAAGTTTCATACCGAAAAAATACGAATAACATATTCGAATGTATTCTTTCAATTTGTCTCTTCTGAAGAAAAAAGAATAATAATGTTGTTTTTGAATACTCAAAATTCCTATTTATTTTATTAAAATGATTGTTCCTTCTTGGCTTAGTTTAATTTTCGTCGTTCAATAAGATCTAATCAAAGAAACAAACCATCAAATGGTGGTGTATATGTATTTGTCCATGGTGATCGATAAGAATCGCCATCACGATTATAATCACATAATAAATAATCTTTGCCAACAGCTCGATCACGAACAACTTTAAGTGGTTGATCAACAGCTGCTAAAAGTTCTTCAGTTAAATCAGGTACAAGATCAATTAGATCAGAAAGATTTTTTTCCACTTGTTGTGGAGGTAAACGTCTCATTAAATCGAGTGCACAATCTAATTGTGAATCGATTAATGAGTTTGATGTTGTAGTTGTAGTAGAAGTCATCTGAAAAAAATTAAATTAATTAAGTTTCAGTTATACACACACAGCTTCTCGAAGATAATCAATTAAAAAGAAATATTTCACAAGATTTGCTAACGAGGTATATTTAGTTTTTTTATAACTATTTAGAGTGATGTTTTCGGATAAATTTTAGGTTTGGCTAATGTTTCTAACAAATTAAAACTATTTTGACTATATATGTGCTTGATCATGATGATTAATTAATCATACTGAATGATTCTTGATAACTTAAACTCCTGTTAATACAATTCTTGCGGGATTAAAATGTGAAACATGATGTAGTTGTTCTTGATGATCATAGAGACAAGTAGTTCACGAGACGTTATTCATATACGGTCTTTGATCATATATTAACAACGTCTTTCACGATCTGTAGTGTGGAGGAAGTGTTGCTAAGGTTTCTGCTATAGTCTGTGTTGCAGCGATAGATCTAAGATTTTGAGAAAGGGAAGCAACCACGATCATAAAACGTGTTTTGAAGTGCATTGAAGATCATTTTGACTCATTTTTGGGCATTTTCTGCTGAGAAAAATCAAAAATTATTTCAACAAGATGCGATCGTCCCCAGTGTCCTCTCTAAATCTACTACAGCTGTGATCGTCTATGACTAGTGTCTGTCACGATCTCTGCCGAGGATCCTAGTCTTTTTCCATAGATTTAAACACTCCTTTTAGATTGTGTTTCACAATAAGACAATTACAGTCTAAGATGAGAAATGATTAAACCAAAAAACGAAAATATTTTTTGAATAATAAACACTTGTAACGTTCAAGTTTTTTGAGGAAAGATTAAAATGAAAGAATAATTTGTGTTTGAAAAATCATAGATAACATTCAAAGGAATCGATTCACATAAACAAATTTCATTAAAATAATCATTACACTTCCTATGACTTAACCATTACTAACTATAATTTTATCTCAATTTAATATCATAACCCATTTATCCATCATAAAAACAAGAAAATATAAATTATATGATTTTTTTGAATCTAGAATATGAATTTTTATAATAAAAGTAGACAAATTAGAACAATTATCTTTTGTATTCCAAAATTCAAATGCTTCTTCGTTATTTAATTTTTGTTGTTGGTTTACATACACACATACGCTGAATACAAAATAGAAAAATTTAGTATTTCAAACACGATATCTTTCAAGAAGTTGAAAGGCATATAGCAGAAAATATTTCGAGCACTGTCATGAATAACTACAAACAAGAGAAAAAAAAATAGAAATAACACAGCTTCAACAATTACTGTGATCATACAGTCAATGGACAAAAACCTCTTTCTTTTTTAAATGTACGTGTTTAGAAAAAAATTAACAGAAAAATAGAATGATTGTCGAATTTTTCTTTGCTTTTGTTTGTTTGTTTTTTACTTATGATTTTTAGGTATATTACGAAGCACCTGCGATGGAATAAATTGAAGAGCAGCTTTATTTGTCGAACCAGTTGAAGTCTGTTGTCGAGGCTGCATTGTTGAAGATTCAGAAGACATATGATGCATTGGTGGTAACTGACCTGGACCCATGGCTAAGTTTTGCATTTGCATCGGTAATTGCTGTTGTTGTTCATAATTAAAAGGCATCGGAGTGATCATAGATTCAGTGGGATGGCCAAGATATGCACCTTGATGATGCAAATTATAGGGTGGAAAAGGTACCCCATAATTAAATTCATTACCAGCTATGGGAACACCATACATTGGATTGAATTGTTCCATACCAGGTGAAAAATGATGGTAAAGTGACTGTTGATGGTAGTGTGATGGCAAATACATTTGCGATTGCTGTTCATATGGATACATTTGTGCTTGTGACATGTTTCCCATAGGTTCATTCATGACTGAAAAATATTTACGAAAAAATTTTCAGTGACGAAAGTAGAAAATTACGTACATGGAGGTGGAACGTATTGCGGTGGCATAGTTCCCGGCATTTGTTGAGTAGGTACTTTTGGATCTGAAGCTTGCAGTGGTATTGACGAAATAGTTTCGAATGATGGTTGAAAAGAATTTTGTAATTGGTCGGAATCTTGAATCGCATGAAATAATAAAGAAGGTGGTGTTGAATTGGAAGAAAATGGTGTTACAAATGTTTCCGTGGGGACAGTAACATTCATTTGTGAAAGTGTTAGTTTTGGATCTGGTAAATTTTCGGCAAATGGTGTAATCAATGAAGGATTTTCTATTGAAATAGAAGATTGTATTGGTTGTTCTGTTGATAATATAGAAGATGTTGCATCATCTATAGTTGATTTTTGTTCTCTAACTTGATCAAAACTTGGTTTATCACGCGTAGATAGTGGTGGTGCTGATTTTGGTTTCGTTTTAGTATTCTCATTATCGGAATATTTTTTTAAAATATTCGTTGGTTCGTGTTGTCGAATTATTGGTATTTGTCTATATGAACGTCGTTCTCCTATATAATCCATAGGTACAGATTGTTGATGTTGATGATTCATGGAACGATTTCGAAGTGAATGAGAATAATTAAGTAAATGATATGAACGAACTTTAATACGACATTTTTGTTGATTCTTACTAAGTAATATAGCATCAAGACTATTCGAAGGTAAATTATCAAATAATATTTCATAATATGTGTCTAAATGTGTTCGACCAAACATAATACCAATAACAGTACCACGTGTACCAATAGGTACTCCCGTACCAGGACGAACATTAACAACACGATCAAATAGATAAAAATTTGTTGTAACATCTGGATCACAAATACCATATGCTTCATTTGCTTTAAATAAATAATGCGGTTCAAAAGTTACTGATTTTGTTTTTTCAATTGGCTGTTTTGCTGCACGTTTCTATGAATAAGTGAAAAGATATTATAGATAAATCTGTATTTATGAGTAGCTTCCTAATTCGATTTATAATATAGACAGAATTCAAAAAAAATTCGAAAGCATTCTCTAATTAGAATATAAAAAAATTTCTTAATTTATTTATCATTTATGATAAATAGCAACAGTTCTAGAGATGACTTTCTTTGTCGACAGTGAAGCATGCTTTGTTTTTATAGAACATCTAAATAAGATACATGCATACGATAGAAATTTTATGATTCAATGGAGTTTTAACTTATGTACTGGATAGACGCCAAAGCTAAGTTCGAATTGCAAACCAAAATAGAGATACACTGTGTACATAAAGACAAGTATGGGTCACGGCTAGAGATAGATGGAATCACGAATAAAAACAATTGTCGGGGCCTGACCTCAAGCTCATAGTAAAATATTCTATGGTTATAAGCAAATTATCTTATAAACGATATGCATTAGAACATAACTAAAGAGAGATGACCCAAACAAATGCTATTCGTTGACTACATCAATCAAAAAAACAAGTAGTGAAGAATTATTTCAGATGTGATGCAAATAAACTCTGAAATTGTTTACTTTAGATAACGATTAAAGACAACATGATTCCACTTATTTCTGATCGTGATACTATACGACTCCGCGCCACGGCGCTGAAATAGAACGTCAGTTATACAGATAAAAATGTTTTTGAATGATAAGTGCTAAAGTATCAATTATTTACCTTCAATAGTGTGATACTTGAAGCTTTCAATATTCAAATATGTATGGAAATGTCTTGATACTTCGAGCACTCAAAATGTTCTATGTATGTGCATGTCAACCTAGCCTGACAATCTAACACATGTCTAATCTCAAGAGAGTAGAAGGCTTTGTACTTAAACTAATTTAAGTAACTTAGCAGCACTTTGAGGTACTTCTTAGCATTTTCGTCTATGTGGAAGAACTTCTTATTGGGTACTTGTCAATTGATAACTTCAGGAGAAAAAAAAGACTTTTACTCGCATTTTACATCTAGAGTGAATTCGTTGCCATTTATAATTTTTATCATAAGATACGAATGGATGCATTTAAATATTATTTTATTACTTATTTTCGAAATGATGATGAACTTCTGACAGTGTATTTATATTTTTAACTCGAATTAAATATCTCTCGAACCTTACTTCATAAAATGAGTTGACAAATTTTTCTATTTCTTTAATCACAGGTGTATCAAGTATTTCCCAAGCAGCATCCATCAATGACATTGAATATGTTGGTAAACTTTTAATCCATATACGAACTTGTTGTAATTCATGTTTGCTATAAAATAATTAATCAAATTTAAAATTATTAATAAGAATAGATTTAGTTCTTTCTCTAAAATAAGTACCCATTTTTTCCTGGCCAAATATTCGATTCTGAATAATTATCCTTGTTTGGTTTTCGTGTTAATTCTGTAATAATATCAGGAAATCTTTAAAAAAAAATATGAACTAATTCTTTTTTTTTATTTTCATTAAACAAAACTAACTTTGATATGTATTCAGATATGATACGTATTGCTTCATTTGAATAATACCATATTTCATCAACTTTCTTTGTATAACCATGAAGCTAGAATTTAAAATTATTAAATAGTTATTGATATTGAAAAATTAAACGAATAAATGTTAAATATTAATTCATAGTCATAAATACTCGAGAGATCAACCTAAATAGAATTTGTTTTATGACAGCTGCAAATCAGTTCATAAAATTATACTGCACTCCTTATGATTCGATCCTCGACAATCAATAAGTTATGAGACATTATATTTCAAATTTATCTGTGAAAAATAAGTTTTAATTCAATCATAGAGAATCATAATAAAAACATTCGATAGGTCTCGATAAGTAGAGCAAAAATTGTGATAGACTCAAAGTTTTCAGATGCTATCATCCAAGAGATATGGGGATCGCAATAACCAAAATCTTTTTTCTCAAGTGAAATTCTATGCTTCATTTTTACGAAGTGCAATTTTTTATAATAACTAAGATCGAATCGAGATGCGTGCTGCTTTTTTCGTTTGACAATATTGTTTGTCGAACTCAGAAAGAGCAAGATACTGGAAGCACCATCAAAAAAGCTTTCTTTTTCCATAGTATATACTGTTTAAAGG